CATTGCGCAAGGGTTGGGTACGTCGCCATGGTAATTTTCTCCTAATCCCTGCCTTGGTCCTCCCCTCCTCCATGTCCTTCCTTTGTCCCTCTCCCGCAACTCCTTCTCACCCTCGGGGTGCCCGGGCCCCGCTCCTGCAGGAAGTCCAGCGACCCGCTCTTAGCGATGGTGCCCAGGTGGTCCACCAGCTCCTCGCGGGTCATGCCCACGCCGGTGTCCTCCGAGCCGACCAAGGCGAGGGCGGAAGGGAGCAAGGTAGAGAGGGAGGGCCCATCGAAGGAGAGGGAGGCAGGCGGGCTCTCTCACGCCTCAGGCAAGGTTCGGTGGGGGCATTGAATCAAGAACCCGTAGAAAAGAGACCCAGGGTCTGGAAGCCGGTGGAACTCCAATCGTGGATCGGCGATGGGTATCACCGTCGCCCTCATCAGATAAGAAGGCCTCCAGGGTCTGAACCCCCTGGGTGCGTTCCTTACCAAATGCCCACACCATAGAGAGGGAGGGCCCATCGAAGGAGAAGGAGGCAGGCGGGCTCTCTCACGCCTCAGGCAAGGTGAGCTCACGCCAGGACTGCGAGCTAGCCGTAGATGCTCCTCGAGGGAGTTGCAGGTCGCCCGCGCGAGGCGGGACCAAGGACGACGATGGGGCGCGCGCTCGCAGAGGAGGTGGAGGAGGAGGGGGGAGGAGGAGGAGGAGGAGGAGGAGGAGGAGGAGGAGGAGGAGGAGGAGGAAGAGGAGGAGGAGGAGTAGGAGTAGGAGAAGGAGGAAGAGAAGGAGGATGAGGAGGAGGAGGAGGAAGAAAAGGAGGAGGAGGATACATCCATGCTATGAAAGGAAGGCGCTGGGTTAGCTGATCCGACGCAGCCCGATACCTGAAGGCTCTAGGGCCACTTGGTTTACATCGCCTCGGGCTCGCTGCAGTCGGCCGCCTCGCCCCCTTCCTTGAGGAGCTAGGCAGCGGAAATTGGCCTGGCGAGGCAGCACCCTGCAGTCGTTGTGCTTTTGAGCTGGCGGCCTGAACTCCACAATTTCCACGCGCCACGCGTGAATGCGCAAGTGATGCATCTCTTACAATCATCGCGCAGTCCTTCCAGAGTGCTCGTTGTGTATCGCCCGCAGGTGCGTACTCGCTATCAAGAAATCACATACACACACGAGATAATCGGGTCCACGGTGCCCACGAATCAGCACAGACAGTGGAACCGAACTGCCAGGACTCTTCTCTTGGGTCTTGGCCTTCTTGCTGCCATCTGAAATCTCATGTTGATGACGTGCAATACACAGCCAATGCCCGTTCAGCCAGCTCCACCGACGGCGGGCTGCATCTGGCATGTCACGGCACGCACGATTACGCCGAGGGATCCCCGCTGCAGCTGGTGGCGGGAGTCCCAGCCAGATCTGCACAGCCGCTGCGGCCCCAACAAGTGGGTTAAGGCTCTGGGTATGCCTCTAAGGAGCTTTCTTCCCCCTTTTAGGGGGGCAATGGGGCCCACATGGCTAAGGTCTCGGCGGCATATCTAAGGAGGCCGCCGCAGCCTTCGCAACCCTGCGCGCCCCCTCATTACCACTGGCCAGGATGCAGTCTCTAGAAACAGGGTCCAGGGAGGTCAAGTCTTTGTTAGCCTTAGCCTTGATCTCAACGACTTCTGAACATTTAAAGCCCGGTTGGATCCTGGCAAAGACCAATCTCCATAATCTAACTCTTTACGATCTACCACGGGGCTCTCTTCATTGCTAGGGTACCATTGGAATCCGTCCACGCTTTAGCTACACTGACGCACATGGAGACATAATGCAACCCTGAGGCGGAGGATGAGGATGAGGATGACGATGAGGAGGAGGGGGAGGAGGAGGAGGAGGAGGAGGAGGAGGAAGAGAACGAGAAGAAGGAGGAGGAGGAGGAGGGGCGGAGGAGGAGGAGGAGGAGGAGGAGGAGGAGGAGGAAGATGAGAGAGAGGGATGATGAGGACCAGGCACACTAATCCATCGGAAAAGAGGCGGGGAGGAGGAGGACGAGAAGGGGTAGGGGGGAGGAGGAGGAGGAGGAGGAGGAGGATGCGGGGGAGGATGAGGGAACCTGATGGCTAGGGGGCACATGTTGGGGCTGCATGTTGGAGGACTGGTGGGCGCCAAACTCAAAGGACTAAGAACTCCTCCTCCTCCTCCTCCTCCTCCTCCTCCTCCCCTGTCCTCCTCTTACCGCTGCCGCATCCCCCCTGTCCATCTGTCAACATGCTGCTCATCCACCTCCCCTGCAACTCCTCGTCACCACCTTTGGTCTCATTCGCGTTCTCATCATCCCCCTCCCCCTACTCCCCGCCTCACTCTCCTCCGCCCCTGCTTCTTCCCAATCTCACTCTCCCGATTCCACTCCCTCTCCGCCTCGCGCTCCGTCCCTACCCCCGCCGTGTCTTCCTCTTCCTCTTTTCGCTGCCTCCTTCTCTTCGTCTCCACTCTCATTGTCGTTGATCATCCTTTCGGTCCGTCTCTTCCTCTTCCACATCGGCGTGCTCCTCCCTTTCCTCCTCCTCGTCCCCCCTCTCATCCTCTAGTTACTCCTTCTCCTCCTCCTCCTCCTCCTCCTCCTCTTACTTACCCTGCAGGGGCGGCGGCAACGCTTCCTCTATCGTGAACCGCCTCTCGGCCTCGTCGGTGCTGACCTTCACCTGCAGAGGTATGTCCGCGTCGTGAATGGTCTTGATCTGGGCCGTGCCCTCGGAAGCGGCAAATCCCAGGAGGAGGCGGGAGCAGGAAACATGCAGGATGATGGGGGGGGAGTATGAGCAGGAGGAGGAAGCGGAGGAGGAGGATGAGGATGAGGAGGATGAGGAGGAGGATCATGAGGAGGAGGAGGCGGAGGAGGAGGAGGAGGAGGAGCAGGCGGAGGAGGAGGAGGCGGATGCTGCTGCTGATAATGATGCCGATGATGATGATGATGCTGCTGATGATGATGATGATGATGATGATGCTGCTGTTCATGATGAGGATGATGTTGCTGATGATGATGATGCTGATGATGCTGACGTTGATGACGCTGCTGCTGATGATGATGTTGATGATGCTGATGATGATACAGATGATGCTGCTGCTGAGGATGATGATGCTGATGCTGACGATGATGATGCTGATGGTGCTGATGATGTTGTTGCTGCTGATGATGCTGCTGCTTCTGATGGCAATGGTGCTGATGCTGACGATGCTGATGCTGATGATGATGCTGCTGATGCTGATGAGGAGGAGG